CGGGGCCTCCCAGGCGCCGTGCGCCCTGGGAGCGGGCCCGCTCCCCATGGGCTGACCCGGGGCGCCAGAATACCTCGGGCAGGCCCTGAGTACAGGGCTTCAGTGCCCCAGTGCACAAGAGGCTCCACGCGGCACTGACGCTTTGAAGTACCTCCTTCCCCCCGCCCTTGCTGCCTCTTTCTGATAGAGGCAGCAAAGGGGGGAGGAAGGGGAAAGAGGGGAAGCGACTAATCGAGAAGCATGTCAACTGTCCGATAAGCATTTGCTTATCTGACAGTCAACTAGTCCTTCGCATCCCTAATGTATACCTTTGAATTAAATAGAACCACAGTCCGAGCCCTGTGAACCCAAGTCAGCCGGCTCAGGACAGCCACAATTTTTAATTGCAACATAGACATACCCTAATGTAAGGGGACTGTTACCCCTTACTAAAACTCTGTGGGAGTTTTTTGGTTTACCAGCTTCAGAAGGGGAAGGGTTCACGAGACTGACAGACCCCAGAGACAATGGAAAGCAGTCAACACTCCAGCTCAGCCTGACTGACAGGTTGTAAGTGGGGATTGTTCTGGCTCTGTCTCTGAACAAACAAGCTGTGTGCAGAAGAGGTCCTGCAAAGACAGAGAGCTGAAAGAGGAGTACAAGAAGTCCTGCAGCGACAGAACCAGACACAGACGACAGGCCAAGCAGTGCAGACCCTGTGTTGAGCAGCAGACTGGCAGTGCTCAGAAAGCCAAAAGGAACAGAGAAACAACACAAGGAGCTGGAACTGGCCAAGCAGCACAGCCTGCAGCTGGATGTGGTGAGCTACTGGGACCTGCAAAGTGTGGGGAAAGACTCTGGACTGGGAGAGGGGTCTGGCCACTTAGAGACTGAGCCTTTCCCCGTCCAGAGCCTTTCCCCACACTTTGCAGGTCCCAGTAGCTCACCACATCCAGCTGCAGGCTGTGCTGCTTGGCTGTTCCAGCTCCTTGTGTTGCTTCTCTGTTCCTTTTGGCTCTGAGCACTGCCAGTCTGCTGCTCAACACAGGGTCTGCAGTCCTTGTGCTCTGTATGCCTGGCTCTGCTGCTGCAAAACTGCCCCTCAGCACAGCTTGCACTCCTCTTAGCAGTGTCTCAGCTCTCTGTTCCTTTTGCAGGACTTCTTCATACAGCTTGCACTGCTCTTTTCAGCTCTCTGTCTTTGCAGGACCTCTTCTGCACACAGCTTGTTTGTTCAGAGAGAGAG